TCTCCCTACCCCCTCTCCCTCCCTCTCCCTCCATCCCTCGTCCCTCCCCCTCCCTCCCTCTCTTCACAATTCAAATCCATGCAGAAATCTGTTCTCACATTACAGATAATCCTTGACTTACAACAGTTCATTGAGTGACCTTTCACAATTACAATGACACTGAAAAAAGTGACTTACAAACATTTTTGACACTTATCACCTTGTAACAGTTTACATTCAGATGCTTGACAACTGCTTCATATTTATGATGGTTGCAGTGTCCTGGGGTCATGTGGTCCTGGTCTGACAAGCACAGTCGATGAGGAATCCAGATTCACTTAAGAACCATGTTACTAACTTAATAACTGCTGTAATTCACTTAACATATGTGGCAAGAAAAGTCCTAAAATAAAGCAAAACTCAGTTAATAATTGTTACTTAACAACATAAATTTTGGGCTGCGTTGTGGTCATAAGTCAAGGACTACCTCTATAGGATAAGTTGAACATATCATGTGAATATCATGCTGAAAAACAGCAATGGATTTGAAATCAAATGTTTTATCACAATGGTGAAAAGAATATTTATTAAAACGATTCCAGCACATATTGAACCTTAGGGACAATAATCACCATAAGAAGAAGGAATTCAGCCTTATCCTACATGATCACCTTATATTCTAATTCCATACTCCAGATAACACTACATTCACATCCCAAATGGCAAGGACCAAGGGAATCAGAGAAATATTACTAGACCTGCAACAAGCTCACTTTTTGCAGAAATATGAAAAAGTTTAGAAAATCATCTTAAATAGAGAACACTAATACCCTGAATGAACATGCTCAGAACCTAAAGTTGACTGATGTTGAGCGAAAAAAACTGAGGAGACAGGACATAAAAATCAGATCAATGCTTTGTAATATAAGAAGCTAACGCTGTTTAAAGCTGGTCATGTATTGGTTGAACTAAATCTAATCATAAGGCCTTTTGTAAGAATCAACTTCATATGGAGGTAAAAAGTAAATGCATATTTTGATGTATTGGAACTAATCTGTTGTGATTAAATGGGAGCTACTCCCATAAGATTTGCTGTCCATGCTTCATTTTCAGTTTTCTTTGTAAATTATATTGATTTTTAAAACTGTATGTTACAGGTTGGAGCTGGCTGGATTGGAAAATGTAAGTCTTCTTGCTCATTTGGTCTAGTGAGAAAGAATCTGAATTTGACACAAAATCCAAACTAATGTGTTAAACTAGATTATAACAACATTAAATCATTTCATTTTAAGAGTGGTAGAATTTGAGGATAATTTCACTGACTCTCATCTGAGCCTCCTGCCCTTGCTCTCTTTCTTACTATATTAGGATTGGATTTTGTTCATTTGTTTGTTTATTTGGTTTGGTTAAAAGAGATTAATCATAGATAGTTGGTAAATGCAGTTTGCTTTAATGGCAATAGCACTTAGACTTAGATACTGCTTTGCAGTACTTTATAGCCTTCTCTCAGCAGTTTACAGAGTCAGCAACAACAATCTGGCTCCTCATTTTACTCACCTCAGAAAGGATGGAAGGCTGAGTCAACCTTGAGCCGGGTGAGCTTTGAGCTGCCAAATTACAGGCAGCTGGCAGGCAGCAGAAGTAGCCTGCAGTACTGCACTCTAACCACTGTGCCATCACAGCTTTACCTTCACCAGGGCCCTCAATAATTTTTTTTTTAATTCCACCATTAACTATTCTTAGCTGTCAAAATGGTTCTGGTGTCCAGCACAAACAAACAATGTGTTGATGACAAATCAAGAAAAGCTGCTGCAGTTTCAGATTGGAATAAATACTCTATTCAGAGTTCTCAAGAATGTGCATAGTATGCTAAGTTCCAATTTGCTATCTGCAGGGAAGATAATCCATACTTTGTTTTGATCAGAAAATTTTTTAACATTTATAAAAGGAACTAGTGATGCAGCTACACCTGAATGGTTATTTTTATTTGGTGTTTAATAACCTTTCTAATTGCTATTTCCTTAGTACGTTGGGAGCGATCCCTGGGAGCCGTTGTCAGGAATAAGAACCACCTAATGACACCAGAAGCCGTGGAACATAATTGGGAAAAGATTTGTAATTTTGATAATGCCCAAAAACCTAAAGAAGTTGGAGGTACAAGCAACTTTATATTCATTACATATTTTGTAAGGTTACAAACTGTAAATATTACAGTATATAAAAATAAAAGTGCATAATGATTTATTTTAATTTTAATATATGTGTGTTTGTGTGTGTATTCATCTACTTATGTCTTCTGTATAGCTTTAGAAAGTATTTTTTTTCATAATAATTCATTTTCCCAAAGTTTTTGATTTTTTTAAGGTTATACATTTTGTATAATATAAGTAGATATTATGTCATACCAATTTGCATAAAATGTTTCCATTTTCTTTCCTTAATGTTACTAATTTATAAATTACCTTTTCCATAAAGGCTAAAGTCCAAAGTTTCATCCCAAAGCTAATCAAATGGGTCTGTGTGTAAATATATGCTTAATCATTTATCAATTTATCCAGACCGATGTACAATTTATTGTATATAATTCCAACAACAGATCAATAAAATGATAGCAGGCATATACATTATCCAACAGGATCACCTATTCATCCTTTTTCAGAATTTCAGCCAGTATTAAATGACAACTAAGAAATTGCTGATAAATCATTGACTGTCAATTCAATAATCCTACCTTCATTATTTAACAGTGAAAAACATTTTTGCTGTGATTGGAAATGGCCATGAGATTTCTAATTGATTGAATTTTAAAAAAACTATCTACAACCTTATTTTAGAAGTGATCATTTGGCATTTATTGTACTTTATTGTATTGTAATTGTGGGCTGAATGCTGAAAATTATGTCCAGATTATGTTTCTGGGACAATTTGAACAAATAAGCCTAAATACACATTACAGGTACTAATTTTTGGAAGAATTAGGGAAAAGGGCATATCGAGGGGCAAAGATGGTGGCACTCTCTTTTATCTCCATATCTTCATTTCAAATAAACACTTTGGGTATTAGTTTGTTTCATTAACAAAATATAATTTATTTCTAAATAGTTGATCAATAGTTCAGGAATACAACATATGCTTTGCATTCAGTAAGCCCCCTTGGTAAACTCAAGAATTGGATCCCCCCCCAAATCAAGTGGTATGCTGCCAGTTCGCACTGGTTCGGGCAAAGCTGTAGTGGCAGTGGCGTGAGGCTCTGCCTACCCACCCTGATGTCATCAAGGAGCTTCGCGTGCGCTCCCCCTACCAAACTGGTAGTGAAGAAAATAGAATATCATCTCTGCCCCAGATCCTTAAAAATCCTTACTGTCAGTGTGGACAGTATTGGGTTAAATTTATGAATGATCTGAGTTAATGTAAGGTTGCTTCCTATGTTTTTAAGCTCTGATTACTTAATGCAGAAAAGAGCGATTTCAAGCACTTTCCCCCCTTCTTCATGTTCTTTCTAGCAAATCCAGGTGGACTCTAGATAGGTCAATCTGTCACAGACCATTGCTACCTAGATATGATAAATAGGTATCTTAAGTAAATATGCAAGTGTTTTAAGATTAGGGCCAGATTGCTAACAGTTGACACTGACTTCATGGCATATAGTCAACTTTGAGAGTCTGATATGAAATGATACCTGATACAAAAATTATTAGTTCTGCTTTGCATTATTCTTTTTGATTTGGACACATCAATAAGAATATAGCTTGTTATATATAGCGTGTCTTTTAGTTTTCTACTAAAAAAGGCATTCTGCGTGGTTTTGGGATAAGAGTCCAACTTTTGAATCTTCACCTGTGAGAATAAGCAAAAGAGGAAAAGAAAAATGCTGCACATATCTGATAGACTATTTAGTTTTTCTGTATTAGAGCATTAGGAAATTAGACAATTAAAAAAACTTTCTCCCTTAATGCCTGAAGACACTGAAGTAAGAAAAACTAATTAAGAGTATTTACATTAAAATTGAAGCCTTTATATCTGCAAATTCAAGCTATCCTAGAAGATTTCATTAAAAACTATCACAGCATTAATGTAAGTAAATTAATGTTGTGAAAAGCTGTTATACACTAAACCATTGCATATAATTATACAAAAATATCAATTAGCGTAAGCCTTTACCTATCATTTGTAAGGATTACCTAGAGTTGTATTTATTTGCAACCATAGGATTTAGCAAAATGCATATAGAATTTCAGCCGTTCAACACATGCTCTCTAATATTAACAGTACTATTTGCCGATGTGGTTTCATATGTTCCTTTGCAACCATTGCAAACAAAGCAATTTGTTTTGTTACATTTGTCTCTCTCAGATTTTTTTCTTCTAAACTAGACTGATTCACTTGGATTAACAAGGGTGAATCTAGCTCTAACTTCCTGATAAAGTTTGCACACCTATAAGTTATTACAAATGCATAAGTGATGTGTAATTGGCAATCCTTTTTATCTTCCATCGAAATAAACTGTTGGCATTGTTTGAAAACAGCTCTGTGAAAGCTTTTCTCATTGGTGTAAGAGACTAAATAGTATGACATTCCTTGTCCTTCTTTTAAAAAAAATAGATACCATTTAGCTAACTTAAGCTTTCAAACCTGCTTTATATCTTGTCTAAAACCTTTAAAAATAAATAGTTCTTCAATAATGTATGCTAATTTATATCACTCAGAAGTTTCTGAGCTGGTCAGAATTGTGAGAGTAGTTTTAGACACTAATTCATCCATTTATTAGCATTAAATTGTTTGTGAAGCATTATTGTGCCAAATAAGCATCGGGCATATTCCAATAATATTTCTATAATATAAAATTATTGCTTTCTTTTCCTTATATTTATTGATGGAAGGCCCACTTGTAATCCCAACATAGCTATTGGTATGCATGGGAATAAGGCGAATATTAAATTTATGAATTTACTCTGGACTACTTCTAACTCTTCTGGTTTACTAAATCCCCAAATTGGGCCTCATATACTATTTTGCCTCAGAAAGATGCTAAGCACAGGCTGTACTAACCATAGTTTATATAATTATAAATTGTGGCTCAGAATGATATGCAGATATTTTAGTCTCTGAAAGCATAATATAAATTTTCATTTTCCTGACTTTAACAAGCATGAAACGTTGAGTGCTGTATCATTTCAAAAGTGATTTCTTTTCATAATGATTTTTCAGAGTATAAAACGCACCTCCCCCCCCAGAAAGGTGGGTGAAAATCTGGGTGCATCTTATACACTGAATGCAGCATTTTTGGCCTCCTGAAATCCTGCCCCTTCACAAAAATAAACATGCAGAGGGTTGCCTGAAAAGTGCTCCTGGGGGCTGGGGAGGGCAAAAACGAGTGAAAAATTGGCCTTTTTGCTCGTTTTTGCCC